GTTAGATAAATTCTTAAAATTTTTTTTTTGATTTTTTATTACTGCCGCGCAAACTATTGGATCATTGCAGAACTTGTAGATATGTTTAAAAAGAAGTCTAACGAAAGCCTAGATAAAGAAGATTATATAATGTTGAAATTAATGCAAGTAAAGCATCAAGAAGTTTAGAGATTATTCATGCGTTTTTACTTCAACAAGAAGATGCCATTAAATATTCAACATCGGTAAATATTTATGAAAGATTATTTGATATAAAGTATTTTGGAGAAAATTTTAATTAATAGTCGCAATATGTTAATGACGAAAAAATTTATTTTTATTTATCAATTATTTCCGATTATCTATAAGTTTTTTATTTGTGACGTATAAATTTGAACCAATTAATAGTAATTAGTACATCACAAAAACCTTTTATAATGCTATTTTCTCTTAATGTGTGTTAATTGTTTAAAATGATTTTCCTAAAATCAAATAAAATTACTTTTTGAACGGTGGGCTAATTAATAACAATGGAAATTAAATACTGTAAAAGGATTAGGTTGCTAACTTTACCTTCCAACTTTATTCTTTTAAAAAAAAAATTTAAGTTGGAATTTTTATAAAAAATGCAGTTTACATACCGTTTTCTATATTCCATTTTTATCATCAATTTATTTGTTTCCTACAATCAAACCCGTACAAGTATTCTCGAAAATTTCTTTTCAACGAACATCTTTTTTACCTCGAACCACCACAAACTGCCTTTGCTCTTGACATTGAACAAATAAGTTATCCTGATAAATGTTACTTGAAACAATTACATTTGATTACTAGACACGGTAATTTAAAATTTCGTTCAAAGTGTATAAATTTCATAGCATAAAATTATCTTTATTTTTTCCTTTAAATATATTAGGATCAAGATATCCAGATCCAGATAGTATTATAGTTTTTGATGAATTGGAGAAAGTATTTGGATAAATAAGCATGATTGGATGTTCACATATTGATAAAAAAAATAGTGATGAATATGTGGTATCCTTCTTATTTAAGAACCTGTGCGCCAAATGATGTCTTTTCTGAAGGATTATTTAATGGCAAGGAGACTTTATACACTTGTAAAAGTCAGCCGGTATACTATTGGAATTGTACCACAGGTAAAATTTTATTGCGCCATTTACAAATATTTTTATTCAAATCCGTTATAATTCTTGTTTAGGAGCCAAAATTTTATAACTTATTAAAAAATAATATTTTTTATAAGAAAAATTTTATGCTTTTATAAAAAATTTGCGATTAATTAATTGAAGATTAACAAAAATTTCTGATATGTTTTATGTTTTCTTCCCGCTCATTTTAAAAATTAAAGCCAAAAAAGCCAAATATAGAAATGATTATCATCCTCTACAAATGAATGATAAATTAAAAGAATAAATATTTGAAAGTTAATTAATACATTTATTTATAAATCACAAATTAAATGTTCGTGTGTTACAAATTCTCTGATAATTTATCTTATTCTCTCAACTATCTACATAAACGAAATATAAGAAGACTCTCTAAATTTTTTTAAAAAAAAATGAAATTTAAATAGAATCACGATGTAGCGTGATTTTAATAAAAATGTTTTGATACGAAAGACAAAAATTTAAAATAGATCAAGGATAAGCGCATAACTTCTCGTAGTCGCACCCAATCTTATCACCAAGAATCATTTTAAATTTGTTCCACTCACAATATTCCCCACAACCCGGAATATAAAGCGGTTTAAAATCAAGTAATATTCGCATGTATACGTTATTACCGGAACATTTATAAATTTCGAAATAAATCGTAGAAGACCAGGGTATGATCCTAAATTCTGAATATTCGAAGTTTTGAATTTGTTCAAAGGTTAAATTTCCCGTGAGTGGATATTCATTTTTAAATAACCCCTGTAAATTAAAAGAACATATATCGTTATCATGAATTCGTAAGGTAAATAAACAAAATGAATTAAAAATGTATGAACGTGCACAAATTTACATACGAGTGTAGTAAGTATCATCGTCATAGAAAAACTATGAGAAAATTTTAAATCAGCTATCACGGAAGAATTCCCATACAAATAACCTTCAACTCCATTAACAAGTTCGGTAATGTATCTACAACCTATTCGTAAATTAAGTGGGCTACCATATGATAATCGATAATAAAAGTCCATCTCAAAATAATATCGTGATAATAAAAGTTCTTTAGGACTCAATAAAGAACACCATGCATCGGTTCGATTATAAACAGTGAGCCAGTATTGGCAATTAGTAAACATAAATGGTACTAGAAGTGGATCAAGAGGTGGACTAATATGATAATCTTTGGAAATTCTCTTGGCAATTGGTGCAAGAGTCTTGTTACCATATAAATAGATTTGTTCGTTACGTAATGGATTATTAGTATTCACAGTCTCGTTCCAGCGTCGACAGGAGGTAAACATACTTAATGTAGAGTCTTGTTCCTAATACAGGAGGTGTAGTATGTGTAAAAGTTCTGAACGAAAATAAATCATTACAATTGGCGCAATAAATTTACCAGTGGTAGATTCCAGTAATAAATAGGTTGACTTTTACAAGCGTCTAATGGCCCGTAACCATTGAATAATCCTTCACTGAAGGACATTAACGACGCACCGGCTCTTAAGGTAAATATACATCATCAATTTAATGTGTTTTTAGGAAAATGATGAAATGTTGATGTAAAAAAACAATACCTTGAAGTTTGAGTACTCTGAAATTTTATAACTTCCGGATCATATTTAACTCCATCCCAAAATTTTTTGTACCTTTTACGACATTGTAGACCATCAAAAAAAGGTTCGATTTCCCCTCGTTTGACCAATTGATTATTTTTCCTCATGGGGAAAGGATTTTTATACTAAGAATTTTGAATAACAATGATAAATCTTTTGTTAATAACGACAATATTTTATTGAATTTCCATAATTTAATTGTGAGCTTTTTTACCCATTCTTTCGCAGCAGAAACATTAGAAAATACTTTTTCCAATTTTTCAAAATTTATAATATCATTTGGATTTGGATATCTTGATCCTAATAATTTAAGGAAAAAAAACCCCCAGATTATTTTATGTTATGAACTTATACACTTTGTGCGAAATTTTAAATTACCGTGTCTAGAAATCAAGTTTAATTGTTTTAATTCACATTTATCTGGATAACTTATCGGGTTGACGTCAAGTGAAAAAGCAGTTTCCGCTGGTTCAATGAAAAACAAATTGTTGATAAGATAATCTCGAGTATACTTGTATAAAACGCATAGCGCTGGGTTATTGGAAATAAATAAACCGAAGACAAATATTGAATATACAATGTAGTATGTAAACTGCATCTTTTCTTAAGATAATGTAATAATTGAACACTTTGAAATTTTTTTTTTTTGAAAAAAACTTGGGAACAAAAATGCTTTTATTTAACATTTTATAATGAATATAGTTTGGCGTTATTCTGACAATATTGGAAATGAGTATTTTTAACGATAATGCATTTTCGATTGTATAATTTTTTAATGCTTTGTAAGCATAAACATATAAAATTAAAAATAGAACAATGAAATTACCTTTATAAAAGGCATAAAAGTAAAAATGATTGTATGTTAAATACACTTATCACGATTGATATTCTTCGGAAAAAAACAATTCGAATCTTAGACCAGAAACCCGAGTCCATTATTCACATGCCAGTCATTAGCGATCCATACCATATTTGAATTGATTATGGCATTAATTATAAATAAATAAATACTATTTATAATGATTTTTTGTTTAAATTTGGTTCTTTAGGCGACTAATGTCATATTTCGATAGTTCTATTTTAAGTAATCGAGAGAAACACGTGACAAAAAAATAATAATTGATTTTTAGAACTTTAAATAATTTGCAACATAAAATTAAATAATTCCAAGGAATTAAACTATTTAATATAACAGTATATTATAATTATATCCACGGATATATATATCCTCCCTTTGTATCACATCGTATCACACCCCTCAAGTTTCCGTTTTTACTATTTATTCAGGGGACACACTTTTTGAGAGTAGCGAAACCTTATTTGTCACGCATATCTATTTGTCACGGTTAGAGTTAGGGTCAAGAGTTAGTAAGGGTTAGTTAGGGTTAGGTGTTAGCATATTAATAGGGGAGGATACGTTATGAAATAAAAATATTCTTAATATAATGTATGTTATTTCACTAAAGGAATTGTGATTGATAGTTATAAAATTTAACATTAATAAACAAATATCTCATGATAGTTGCTAGACTATTATTTTATTTTTGGGTTGTAAAAAATCATTCTTATAATAAATACTTTATCATAATAAGATTTCTTAGTATTGGATCCAGAGAACCCACCATTAAATTAACAACCGATAATACTTTTAATAAAATAATGCTAAGTTGAATTTTGGACTTGTAACTCGACAATTTTAGTACAAGCTTTTCAGAGACGAAAATGTGAGAATTTACGCATAATATGTGACTGTCTCACGCTAATTGGTTGATAATTTGCAAAAAAAATATACTGTATAAGACTTTCTTCAAAAAATCCTAAAAAAAAAGTTAAAGAATGTAATAACCAGATACACATACAAATTTTTGGAACCTCAAGTCTAATTTAAAGTACCCCATGTTGCCGCTATGTAAATCTGATTATTTAATTTTTTTTTATAATCATTGGAGCTGAAATTTCATGATCAAGTTCTCCATTAACTAAAACCTTCACAAAGGTCGAAAGTCTAGTATCTGAGATCATGACGATCGAATTCTGTCAATTCTAACTTTTCTAACATTTTTGATCGAAACGAATGGGCCATCTCCGCATTTAACTGATTGACCCGAATTACACAGCTTGATCATTTTATCAATATAAAAGCGATGTATTATATATTTAATATTTTAAATAACATACCCCATCCAAAGATTTATTTTAAAATAAATGATAGCCATTGTGTTCTTTGCTAAAAAGATTATTGCCTGGTCAGATTTTGTTGTAAACTTTCTATGTGCTCTTCTAATTTCAAGACTTCTGTTTGTTTGTTTAATAGTTTTTGAAGCTCTTCTTCGGCTAAATTGTTTATAAGAATGGTCTGGTAAGCTTCCATTTTGGCACTAAATTTATCTCGCTGGGAAGTTTCGTTACTTTGCACGATTTGCTTTTGATTTTCTAAGAGTAAGTCAACTACAAGAGAAAAATGGCCCGCTTTGCTTTTTGTTTCAGTAATTAACTGAGCCAGCTTCGTGCTTTCATTTCTTACTTGCGGTGCTAATTCTTGGACTTTAAGTCGGATAATTTCCTGTTCGAGTTTAGTGAAATTATACGGACTATTAGGAAAGGTTATATTGGACAATTGTTGAAGTTGGTTTATCGGAGTTTGTTGATCATTGATAATTTGTTGTTTCTGGCTTTGCAAATCTTGAACTTCTTATTTGACACTAGCTAACTGTTGCTCTGACTCTTTAATTCTTTGGGAATTATCGCTATTTTTTTTTCTTTCTTGCTCTATTTGAGTTAGAAATCTGTTAACATTTTAGGATAATTTTGGTAATATCTTCTGATCGAGGCACATTTAGTTTCACTAAGTTAGGCGTGTCAGACAAAAAAGATAAATTTTCAATGCCGGTACCAAAGAGGCTCATCCAAGTAATTGGGTTCGAGTGAGCAAGTTTTAAACTTGTCAATCGAGAGTTGATTCCAATGTCTACACAGATTAAATTAGGATATTCTGATAAATCTAAATGTCCTTCTAAATTCTTATCTACAACAACATTTTTAGGAAAATTTAATTCTATATATTCTTGAGCGTTTGACATTTTATTATGGCCGAAGTTAGTTTGTTACCTGGACTTAAATATTTTAATATTTTAATATTTAAATAGCGAGTTGGAGAGATTTATTAAGGAATTGAAAAAAAGAGAACAATTAAAACTGCATTTATTACTATGGCTGAATTGCATAGTGCCAGTATTTATCCCGATTTAGCAATATTAATTTGTTAAATGGTTACAAATACCTTTTTTTTTTTTTTTAAAAAAAAAAAAGGTTAATAATACGCAGTATTCAAAATTTGTAACTGTTATTGTCTTGTTTTAAATTAATATTGTAACTAGAGCATTAAGTGATTAAAACCAAAACATTTAATTTTATACATTTCTTTTCATTTTTCTATTTTTTAATACCGTCGAGTTTATTAATAGATTTTTTAAATATCGAATTAAAAAAATTTTAATTTAATTTTTTTTTAATAATATTTATTTCTTGTTATGTAAAATTATTTTTTAACGAAATAAATGAAAATTTTATTTAAAATAAAATATGATGGTTATTAAACAGCTATATAAACTTCAAATTCGATTAATATACAACCAAAGAAAAAATTAGGCAAAAATTCACATCATCAAAGTATACCTTCGCCAACAATAGCTTAATTTGTAGTCTATATTTATATTTAACGGTTGGCAAAAAATATTAGTCGCATGATCCTAATAGACGGGACCAATTTCAAGGGGCAAGATTCTTATAAAGCTACTTTATTTTAAGATTGTATAAGGAGGATTTAATGGTAATAAATTGTAGACATTATCGAATACATCTTACAAAGTCTGACCGTTGGGAAGTGATGGTATATTAGCGTTCCATTTGAATAAGTTAAATTTTTGCGTCAATAATAATTATTACATTCAAGAACTATATCCTCCACGAATATAAATTTATCATTAACTGCTTTCATAAGCGCGCGAACATTTGGTACTTCGTATTAATATCAGAATGTAACATCGATTCTACAATATTTCATTGATCCACCAAATAATAAATAATTTGATTATCTTTAGTACCGCTTAATGAAACTGTAGCAGCTGAACTTCTGAATGAAATTGCTGCTGATGAAGTTAGATCAATCAATGGTGGACTTTCTGAAGTAAATTATTGAGACACATCAAGATATAATACTTCAATTGAAGGAAGAGTAAAGGCCAAGGTTTCCACCGAAAATAAAAAGTTCGTCCTAAAAAAAACTGATGAGTGGTCATAATGGTTATGTAGAGTAAATCACTTCACCTCATTTATAAAAATTTCTAACGTTAAAGACATAAAAAGTTGTATATTGGCTTCACAGACATATTGTACAAAACTAATCTAATTGATTTTTTTTTTTAACAAAAAAAAAAATTTTCAAGACGAAAATTCAGGATTCAAAGATCATATGATAGAAAGTAATTTAGTTGATTTAATAAATAGTGGAGTTTTACAACAGGTTAATTTGAAAACTAATATTTCAAATTCTTAAATTTTTACTTTTTTATGTTATATAGAAATATTGTACAAAGGTATACTTTTGATGCTATGCAAATAAACTATTGATATTTATATAAAAAATATTGTTTAACAAACTCAGCATGATCCTATAGGTCTGTATGATGATTTTATTATAATTTAAAGTTAACTAAATTTTTTATTTAAAATAATTAATAATTAATAATTTATTTTATTGATTATTAGTATTTAATTATACTTATTTAAAGTCAACTAAATTTTTTTATTTAAAATAATTTAATTAATAATTAATAATATAATAGATGATAAGTTATTTTTATTGTATTTTTAATGATTATTAGTATTTAATTATACTTGTTACTGTAATTAAAGTCAACTAAATTTTTTATTTAAATTATAAATTTTATTAGTGAGTAATTATCAGCATTTAATTAAACCTTATTAATGTAATTTAAAGTTAGCTAAATTTTTTTTATTAGGGAGTAAGTTATTTTTATTGATTATCAGTGTTTAATTATACTTGTTATTGTAATTTAAAATCAAATAAATTTTTATTTAAATAATTAAATTTTATTAGGGAATAAGTTATTTTTATTGATTATCTGCGACAATATTTGAAATTTTTTTTTTTGATCTTTAGGATTTTTTACTACCATGCAATTACTGGATGTGTTAGCTCGCTCGTTAAGAGAAGGTGGAGGCGAATGCTGATCAATTATATTAAACGAAAAAGTGCAAGATGTATTAAGAAATTGGAAAATACCAAGAAAAGCCTGCAATTACTTCCTCACTCTTCTCTGTATTACGCTTTAAGAGAAGATATCCAAATTTCTCTATCTAAAGCAAATACGAAGTCTATTTATAAAAATTTTTTAATTAGATATCAATTAGTGTTATAAAATCTGAATCAATTAATTAAAATGATTCTAATGCTGATGGAGCTATTGACGTCATGATGGATATGACAAGGGTAAATAAATACATGGTGAGAGGGTGTTCTCTAATTTAAATTTGTTTGCTAAACGTTTGTAGCTTTAGTATACTACAGGTATTACGTATACCGCATGCGGATCATAGATTTACTATGTTCGTAACTCGATTTTAATAGCAAACCTCCCATATCTTAAACTCGTCATTGTGAAATGAATAAATGGATGGCGTTTTATTAATTTCTTAATCTATAAAGCTAAGGATTTTGTATAATCGTGTACGGGGGATTTAATGCATACATACATCAAATAGCTTAATATATTATGTAGCAAATTTTGAAACAATATTTTTATATTGATTTGATTACTTTGATTTATTCAATTTATAAGTTCGTAGTATCTTTGTTTGTATTATCAGTAACTTCAATAATTTTTATATATATATTTATTTTATAAAAAAAATGATCTCGAGCGAATATCGAACATTTTTGTCACCTAAAAAGCTAAAACACAAATAAACAAATTAATGCATTTGCTGGTTGCTTATAACAACATCAAGGAAGGTATTTACCCTGTTAAATTGGATTATTACCTAGTCAGCAACTCCTTTGGAATTAATGATCTTGGGAGAGCTTCGTTCCATGTCGTCTTATCCGAATAGTTGACAAGTATATATAAAGTTAAATATTATAGCCAAATTAACCTTGCGTAGAAAAATACAAAATCATATCAATTTCTATCGCATATGATAAAGATGATTTTATCTGAATTTTCGAAAATCTATAGAGATAAGAAAGAACGGAATTAGAGTATATCAAGATAAAAATAATACGTACTAAAAGAAGATATATTCAAAGCTTACGTCACTTTCAGAAACATTTATTTATGATCAATGCATGACTCCATGATAAGACGACCTTGAATAATATGAACTCATATCAAAATTGTAGATAATAATTTTTAAAGATTATTTTAACGTCGATTATTACTAACCTTATATTTCAGCGAACTTTCCCCTGTCTTCTCTATAAACGGATTATTTTCGTCCTCACGTGTTAAATCATATTCATTGTGGTCATTTTGCTTTAAAGAGAAATTTTAGAAATGGAATACATCAAAATCGATTAAATTACATCTAATTAGTAGTTACCGAAAAAGCGAATGGTGTGTTGTCTCTCTACTAGTTTTGATCTATGCACACATCCAAAAGATTTATATATAACTATTTAGGAAGTAACTTTAATCTCGAACTTACCTATTTTACCGAAGTTACACCTGAAATTTCACCTCCAAGATTCACATCTCGATAAACAATTTTTATACTGTGTGAGCGATTTCTTCTAGGATTTCTTCATTGGGCTTGGCGGTATCAAAAATCCCAGACGTGTCGACGATATTTGTATACCGCGGAGCTAGATTTGTTGATGCACGAATCCTATCACATTTTGAGGGGTTTCGGACGTTGGATTCAATTTTAGCAAACTATTTTAATAACAAGTCGGATCGACATTTAGAAACTTGCAAAAGATGAAATAATTCGAAGGAAAGGTCATATTATCAACGCATACCTGTTTTTCCAACAAAGTGTATAACTGGCGCATTGATATCCAATGGTTTCAATTTTTCTTCTTCCAACGGTTCCTTATGAAGAATAAGGTTAATGAAAGAACGAGACATTACATACTTTTAGGACAATTTATCATGTCATCAGTCTTTTTTTTAAAAAAATAAAGAGAAAAATAATAAATTAATGTAAACGAAGAAACGATTAAACGCAGGAGACAAATTGATTTTATGGTTGTGGACTCGTTCACTAGCCGTGGTGTGACGATCTCATCTGCTTCAGTATTCCGAAAATGGGCCTAACGACCATGTCTGTGTTACTCCAGAAATTGCCGCGACTGGACCATTTCGAAGAAAATAATCAATTTTTTTTTTTAGAATAAAAATTTATTATACCAAATAAATTATCATAATTCCGCCAAAACACAAAAATTTGGGGCGTAGCTTTTTACTTTCCCAACAACCGACTTCTTAAACGCACGTTACTTGTAAGAGTAAAGCTGACTCCACCGCGAACACGTTTTTAAAATTATTATTTGCAAGAATCGATTATTTCTAACCATGCGCCTCGATTCTTACAAATTTTTTGTTTAGAATTTAATACATTAAACTTCATAGCCCTATGAAAAGAAAGTTCCAAAACCAATAAAACATAAGGTACGTCGGAAAATATGTATTGAGTTGTTGCACGTACGTTTTCTGAATATATATTTTTTTTTTTTTTAAAAAAAAAAAATATTTGAATTCGTATAAAATAAAAATACAAATTCAAAAATATATCGATCATGTTAAAGGATCGACAGCAATGAACTTTATTAAATTGGGGAAATTATCAATTCCATTATAGGTGACATTGAATATGTTTAATCAAGTTAAACTAACTATTATTTCTGATTCCTTTACTATGACATCACGTTGTTGTAAACAGAAAATTCGGTTAACTTGATTTGGCAAGAAATGACACCGACGATCCAAACTGCTTTAAAATATAAGCGCGCAAACTATAGCACTTATGGAAATTCATTACAAATGGGGAATATTTAAGCCGAGGGCTGAAGAAATAAAATTTAAGAAACCCCCTCTGCTGTTGCATAAAAAATAAATATTCGCCTGAATAGCATTCCTATCGAATAATAAATTAAACTTAAATTAGGAAAAATTTAATCGCAAAAATGGTTATAAAGAACAATTTAGAAAAAACCCTAAAAGACTTGGAAACTAGAATTATGGAATTGGAGCAAAGTAACGAAGGATTACGTTCACGATTCGAAGATATTGAAGAAAAGGTTAGAGAGCGAGAAGAAGAAACCAAATCCAAGCAAGAAACTATTAGTCATTTAGAAGCCAAGGTTAGAGAACGAGAAAAAGCCAGTCAAGAAATCATTAAGAAATTAGAAGGAAGGATCAGGAATCTTGAAATCATCATTTCGTATGAAACTATTGATTGTTTAACTATTACCGATATTAATAAGGATGACATATTAAATACCTCAGGTGGATTGCAAAGATATCGAAAATTGACAAAACTCGATTGTAACAATTCTCAAATAACTAGATTACCTACTTTACCAAACACCTTGACAGAACTCTATTGCAATAAAACAAAAATAACCAGTTTACCAACGTTACCCAACTTCTTAACAACACTCAAGTGTTCTGAAACTCCAATAAATTGCCTACCTACCTTGCCCAACTCCTTAACAGAACTCCATTGCCATAGAACGAAAATCATCAGCTTACCAACATTACCCACCTTCTTAACAAAACTCAGGTGTTCTGAAACTCAAATAAATAGTTTACCAATTTTGCCGAACTCCTTAAATGAACTCCATTGCTATAGAACTCCAATATCTAGCTTACCAACTTTACCAAACTCCTTAAAAGTACTCAATTGTCATAATACTCAAATAACTAGATTGCCAGCCTTACCTAATTCTTTAAAAGAACTCTCTTTCTCATTTACACAAGTAAATAACTTATCAACCTTACCTGGCTCTTTAACAACACTTTATTGTAACAATTCTCAAATAACAAGCTTACCACCTTTACCTGACTCCTTAATAAAACTATATTGCTATGAAACTCCATTAATTAGTTTGCCAACTTTACCTAACTCTTTAAAAAGTCTCTACTGCAATGATACACAAATAACTAGTTTCCCAACTTTACCTAACTCTTTAGAAAGTTTGTCATGCTATAATATTGAATTGGTTTCGTTGGATTTGTCAAATTGCAAGAAACTTAAAAAAATTATCAAAAGAAATATAGGTTATCCTGAAAATGGTGAAGTATTTATTGGTAAATTATCTAAAAATAAGATCATTTTAACATAGAATAAAGATGATGACAATTGAGAAATAAGTGTAGTTGGTTAGGATTTAGTAAATAAATTATTTATCGAATTTATGAAGTTAACATTTTTATTTATTGGTAAAATACAGTACATTGATTTTTTGAATTTATTGAATATTTGGGGAATGAATGGGAATTGATCATTTAAAGACTTCTGGCGTCTCAGAATATTATATCACTTTCACTTAAGATTGAATGAAAACAAATCAATAAAAAGAGACAATTTATGACATTTAAATAGGACTTCCATGAATTTTAATTTAATTGATGTTAACGGAACTTTTATATTGGGAGGTTTGCTATTAAAATCACGTTACGGATCATATGATTTTCTATGTTCGTAACTCGATTTTAATAGCAAACCTCCCAAAATATATGTTATTTCCTCAAAAAAAAAAAAAAAAAAATGCATATATAAATTTTTCTACGATAAATCTTTTGATAATGCCATATTTAATATTCACAATACAAATCATCATCTAACCATCATAAAAAAATTCAAAGAAATTTTATTGAACAGGTGAAGTAATAAGTGATTAAAGAAATCTAGACAGTAAAAATGGAATGCTTTTGAGTTTTCTCCCTAATACATAACAAAAAAATACAGTTATTCTTTACCCCTATCGTGACTTGTAAAATATTGTTCACGTTTCAGCAGGCCGTAAATTGCTCCTAAACCTTGAAGGCGATATTTAAGATTCATAGGACTAGAATATACTAAAATCGCGTCCCGTATATTATTAAATTAATAATCTTCCAAATCACATCCTTCATGAGACATTTCATTCATTTCTTGTGTTACGCTTATGCTATTAATTTCAACAATATACTCCTCATTAATATTAACATCCTCAAAAGTTTTAAGAAGATCATTAATTTGTTGAATATCTGGTCTTTTATCCGGTTCAAGTTGCCAGCATTCTGTTTAGAAACAAATTTAAAGGTTATATATACCATGAAGAATGTAAATAAACAATTTTATTTAAAATTTGTTAGACTCACTTTGGTAAAGCTCGACAAATTTAGCGTTTGTATTTGGAACGGGATGCTCCCTTTCTCCATTATAAATTTTTGATATGAGAGCACACTCATTTATATCACTACCGAAAGGTAATGAACGACTTGTTAATTCCCAGAATAATACACCCAAACTATAAATATCGGATTTTTTAGATAAAATATGTGGATGATTTTGAATTCCTTGAATATTAAAAGAGTTAGGGTCCATATAAGGTACCGAGCCAAACATTCTATTAGTATATCCAATTGAATTTTCCAACCGACGTGAAATTCCAAAGTCTATTAACTTTGTTGCATGTTGATGTATTAATATATTCTTTGAATGCTAAAAACGATAAAAATTTTATATTATAAATGTTTCAATCATATAATAAAAAACAATAAAGATTAATGAATAATAAACTAAACTTACAAGATCTCGGTGTATAATGTTATTATGATGTAAACATAAGATTGCACTGGCCATTTCCTTTGCAAATTTTAATTGATCCTTCCATTTAAATGTATCAAAATTTTTTTTTAAATAATCTCTTAACGTTCCACTATCTGCATATTCAAGGACAAGAGAATAATTTATTTTGTTTGTAATTTCGTCTAAAAAATAAATAAAACATTATAAGTAAAAATACACTTTATCTTGAATAATTTTATCATCTTGCAGCTACCTTTGAATTTTGAGATACCACAAAACTTAATTATATTTGGATGAAAATCAACCTTTTTCATTAAATCAATCTATAATGTAAATATAACGTGAATAAATGTAAGTAATATTAACATTTCACCTTTAATTTAAAATTTTATCGATAACACACCTCATTAATAATTTCACTTATAGGTATGCAAGGATTATAAAATCTTTTAATTGCAAATTTAGATTGTGTTTTTCCAGCTTACAGTATAAACAGCTGCAAACCCGCCAAATCCACTCTCAGAAATGTCATTAAAATCCTTAGAACAGTAATGAGTTATTGTCCCATCTTTAATTGAATTTTCAAACCATTCAAATGGATCTTCAATTTTTCTGAAATGAATAAAAAATTTGTATTATTAATTAAATCAAAGATATTGACTAAATAATTTAAATATGAAAATTTCATACCCTGAAAATGTTGAACCTTTTTCTTCATTGTAATTTTCCAACAACCTTTCCAATACCTCATAAACATCTTCAACATGATGTCTCTCCTCAGGTACATCGTTCCAACATTTGCTATATAATACAAAATATTCATCAGGTGTATTTTGTATTCTTTCTTCTCTAATTCCTGACAAGATTGACGTACTTATTGTATAAACCTTTTGATCTTTAAAAGGTGCCTTGCCACTTGATATATTCCATAACAAAACTCCTAAACTATATACATCAGAATATTTTGTATAGGGATCTTGTTCACTTTTACCAGCCTTCAAAATTTCGGGAGCAACGTATGGAATGTTACCAAATAATTTATCATGTATTCTAGTCATAGTGCTCAAGCTTTTTGAATTACCAAAATCCGTTATTTTTGCTTTTCCTCGATGTATTACAATGTTCCTGGCGTGCTACAATGCGATAAATTAATAAAATTCAAACAAATAAAAATAAATAATAATTCTTTTAATTAGGCTACGTACGAGATCTCGATGCAAAATATTTTCTTTATGTAAATATTGCAAACCATTTGTAATATCAATAGCCAATCCAAATTTTTTCTCCCAATCAAGACTTGAAAATTTTTTCGAAAGATACATGCTTAAATCTCCATCATTAGCATATTCCATGACAATGGCATATTCATTAATCGAATCTATAAAGAAAAGGAATATATTAACGCAATTACAAGGTAGTTATTCAAATCAAATATATAACTTACATTCACTTATTCCTAAAACCTGAATTATATTTTCACAACCACGCATTTTATTTTGTATTTGTAATTCATGTTTAAATGCTTCCCATGTTTTAAATTGTATGTCAGGTGAAATCAATAATTTTTTATAAGCTACAAAATTATTTAAATTTGACCAATATGCTTTAAATACTGATCCAAAATTTCCTACACCAATCTGCTTATGAGAACTTAATTCGGACCATTCTACCGTTTTAATAACCTTTTACTTAATAGTATCTTCAATCCATTTTCTTGCTTTTTCCTCTGTTTCATCGATAGATTCAGTTATATCTTCCATGTTAAGATTTTTACTGAAAGCGCTCTCGGAAGTTATTTTATCTTCAAGTAAATTTTTCATGGTTATTTCTACAGCAATAATATTACAACGATCTTCTGACTTTAATTGCCACATTTTATCAATTAAAAGTTTCCAGCTTTTATACTCTAATGGAATTGAAGGCAATATTTCTTTATGGTGATTTAAACAAATATGAATATAAAGCTCATTAATTGGAACATCTTTAAATGGTAAATTATTATCTCTACTCCAAGCGATCTCCCAAAACAATAATCCTAGGCTATATATATCAGATGGCGGAAGAAGTGATTCAAAGCTCGTTTTACTTCGTAGTCTATCTGGATCATACCAGCGTTTCCATACTTGTTCATTAGAAGGAATTGTTATTTTTGGATTCACTGAAATCTTACTGTAAAGTGAATATTTACTCCAAAGAAAATTAGATATTTTCGGTACTAGATTTTTTGTCATTTCTTCGTATTGTAGTAAAATATTTTCACTTCGAAGATCCAAATGTAAGATCTTTTTCTGTAAAAATGGAAATTGGTTATCAGATATATAGTTTTAAGTTTGAGAGAATTTATAAAATAAAAATCTTACCTCATGCAAGTATTTTACGCCCTGCGAAATTTCCCAAGCTAGTCTAATCCTTATCTCTTAAAAGATATTCTGATGAATAACAATCCCGTTGGAAATATGCGAAAAGGTTACCGAAGTTCGCGTATTCATGAAATAGGATGGGTTTACAATTCTGAATCGAATATCCACAAAATTTAATGATATAATCGCTATCATTCAATTTATGTTCGTTGTAAAGATAAATTTCTTTCTCGACACACAAAAAATTGTCGACGTGATCGATAAATTTGAAAGACTTTACTGTAATAAGTTTTAAACCATCTAAAATTTGTTTTGTTGAATTAAACAATTTATCGCTGTATGCTATATCTATTAGGGATTCTAAGTTTTCAATGCATATTCGATCAACAGTATGGTACCATTGTGATAAATCTTTCACACTGATTATATTTGAATCATTATCAATATTTACGTAAAGTTTTGGATCGTTTTTAAAATTATCTAATTCAGCTGTAATCTGAAAATATCTCTGCCTATCATATTGCGACCCTTCAAGAGCAACTATTAATTTATCCAAATGTTCGTTGAATGATTTCCCAGCTTTTATGATGCTAATATTAATTGAAGGTAAAGAATAAGTAAATGTACATTAAATATCATGATTCAAAAATATTAATTAAGATACTAACTTGTTATTTTCGAATATGCCATCAATAAATAATGACATTCGTTCTCTAACTGAATTAGAACTTTTAGCTAGAAGAAAAAAATACAATTAGAAATCTTTCATACGAATGTTTCGAAGAAATAATGAAATGACCTACCAATACAATAACGTACAATTGACCTTAGACAGTAAATATATAAATGTACTTGCTTTTTTACGATGTTTATAAATTGAAGTTTCTGGTCATTATCAAACCAACATGAACATAAATCTTTAAACTTGCTCATATACACAGATAACTTTTGCGCAGTATTATCGTTTCTAAAGTGCTTACTTCCGGACATCATTGTATTCTCTATTAATTCGCAAAGTATTTTATGTAAATTTTCCAATTCAGTAAATGGATCTAGATTTGTTATATTTATTTTTGATCGAAAATTTGACTCAGAATTTGGAATTGAAAAATTATTTAAAGATGAAAAAGAATTTGATGACCCAGGATTTGGAATTGGAATATTATTAAATGATCCTAATGAGTTTGATGACCTAAGAGAAGTTGATGAGATTGATGAAGGATTTGGTGAAAAGCGAAATGAATTGGAAGAGTTTGAATGCATTTTTGGAAACATAGAAGATGAAGGAGGAGAAGGGATTGCATAAGAAGGTTCTAGTTCAACAGTTTTAGCGTAATATTCATTTCTATGTGCTTCACATAACCATAAAATCTCTTGAGTTTGATCATCAAAACATTGCGTCAATCCACCATAATTATCTGCGCTACTTTTTGTATCAAGAAACCCTAATTCAACATTTCAAAGTATTTTTAATAATGGAATAGTAATAACGTAAAGCACAAATTATTAATAATTTTACATACTTTTGAGCTCTCGAAGGCCTATAGCATTTATTGTTAGATAAGGATTACTCTTATCATCGTTCAAAGGAATAAAATCAGGATTTTCATCGGTCACAGTCCTTACACCAATATCAATAGTATCGATGATTTCTTGAAAATATTGTGTAATGTCAGTATTACTTGTGTTAAAAATTGATGATAGATTGCTAGCAACGACTTTTTGAAAGACACTCAATGTTTGTAAACTAGTCAAATATTATGAAATTTGATTATTAATATTTACAATAAATATACAAATTCGTTCGTTCATATGGTAGTTACCATAAATTTATCCAAGGTCCATATTTTTTAATAAATTGAGGAGTTTCAAGAATTTTATAACCTTCCTGATATGGAACGTGCCATTGCTCCTTGTGTTCGCAAACAAAGAAAAGACGAAATGGCTTTGAAACCAACCACGACCTGGAATAAATAAATTAAGATTAAAAAATAACTTATTTTAAAGAATCATTCAAGGGAAAATATATATGTTGCATACGCTGGTCTTTTCCAATCCTTTTGATCAGGAATTATAACAAATACTCTAGGGACATTCTCATTTTTCAATTGTACCAACTTTTTTTTTCAAAAAAGTTCATAATAAGCGATAAACATCAATTTTTTTTTTTATGAATTTAAAAAACTACTTACACGATGTGGGATTTTCTTTGTGAATTCATATATATCTTCAACGGTCTTTGTACGATTATCAATTTTATCATTCAATATTTTAAGACTTTGTTTCATTTCGTTATGATATCTTTCAAGGAAAGCTTGAACTGATTCCTAAAAGAAAATAATTATTGTTACTAAACCTGAAATTTTAACTGGTATTAAATTAACCGCAGAAATCTATCTGTGTTAACTTTACTTGAGAATTGGTCTCATCATCAATCTGATGTTCCCTATATGTATTATCCGTTTGTTCTAAGATAATTCAAAAATTTTAATATAACTTACTTAAAGACAAACATGAAATTAGAATTTACATCTTTTTTTTTTATATATACCTGACACATTAATGTAATATGGTGTATGCTTTAGTGGGGGGGGGGGGAATAAATATCAAATTTTTTTATTAATTTTCTTTTTTTGAAAAAATAAAATAAAATAAAATAAAAATAGTTGATTACCATAAATTCTTTTAGCGTCATTCGACGTGAACTATATTTATCAAGCAATTCGTTAAGAACATCGCAAGCAACAGATGCTTGAATATTGATTAGTGTCAATGGTTTTTCTGAAATTATCTCTTCTTTTTTTTCTTCATTATCTCCATCCCAATAATGATGCCCTATTTAATTAAAAATACGAAAAGGAATTACGCTACGCATTCGATATTTTGTGGACAACCAAAAAAAATGAAACTAAAAATACCCGTTTCAATAAAGTACAAAATTAGTCCCAAAGAAAACATATCCATTGAAAAATTCGCTTTAATTTTAATTTCTTTTTCGTATGCTCTCATAACCTCAGGAGCAGAATAATTTGTTGTAAATTGCACATCATATAAACTATCGGTAAAACATGCTGTATCAAAATCAGTTAACTTCCAACTTCCAATTTCTTTTTCTTGAAAGTACATTATGCTTTTTGGTGTTAATCCATTGTGTACTATTAAAGGAAGAGAAGAAAATAATGGGTCAGTAAATTTGTTAAGTTCATATGTAAAATTTATACGAACCGATAGTATTACTTACCTATGTTGCGTTTCTGGAGTTCCAAGAGACCAGTTAATACATCCTACGAAAACATAATATTTTTATGAATTACAAAGATTAATCGCGTTAAATAAATTCAACGCATTACTTTACCTTTATTATATCTTCGTGTCTCTGGTAATGTTCTCGATTGACCCAATATGATTCCAAGTCATATAAAGGACATTCGCATTTTATAATAGCTTGTGATGGGCATGAGTTTATCATTTGCATAATGTTCTATATTTTGGAGAAAAATTTACATTTACATATTATTTATAAAATTTATGACGTCAAGCTCATAGTGCAAACCTCTGCGTTTCTTAATTCACCGAACATCAGTAACTCTCTTTCGAATGCATCTGTTGTTTTGTACTCTTTTATCACATAAAGAACATTCGGTTCATTCACTTCATAGACTTTATGCACTTTAAAGTTTGTAACATCATCGTTAAAACTTTTTAATATTGTGTATTGTTCTATTTGACAAAAATTTTACATTTAATTCATTTTCACGTGTTATAATAAATGACTACTGATAGGTACTGCACCTTCTCCAAGCTTAAAATGTTTTGAATCATCAAGCATTATGTTGGTTTATTTTTTCTGAAAAAAAAAAGAGAAAAATGACGATGAAAAAATTTGCTTATATAGTGTATGCAGAACATTTTTTGCGATCAACCTTGCATAATAGGAAAAATCCTTGTTAGCTCAATAAGGTATCAATGACTCGATCTGTCCTAGAGCCCACATAAGAGATGATAATTTTGTGTAACCATTTTGCAAAAAAAAAGATGCAAAATTTTTATTCCTTAAATGGTAATACAATATAAGATCACGTGAAAACGCAAAAATGAACCGGGGTGTACGATTAAGATTTGATGAGTTCATTGGCCTGATATATATCGCAATGTTTTCTAAAATTAAAACGAATTTTGCAGTATTTAGTGCAGTGTTAAAGAGAAAAATATTCTTGCAATCTTTTTTTTTATTTTAGAAGATTTATTATTGAATAAAACATATAACTCATTATTTTTGTAAAAAATGAGCAAAAACAACTTAAATACATAATTTACATTTGACTACATATATCTTTTACTATTAGAGCAAATCAGCCATGTAAGCTTTTATAACAATAAAGCAATAGCCATAATAATAGACTATCTTAACAATACAGTATATTAATATTTATTTCTTCATCACATTTTTATTCTAAGTTTTCAATAAAAAATATTTCGGCTATATTTATATTTAAAAAATTGGTTCTACCACACCACAGAATAAAAATAAATAAAATAAAACTGTAAAAAAAGTAATAAGATATTTTCCAAGACGAAATTTACAGCAAATGGAGTAGTAAACGAAGTGAACTATGTATAAAAAAAAAATCTCTTATTTATATATCAGATCTTATCGTACGATAAGGGTCTACACCCCTACCTTACCGTAATACTTAGTACTAGTTTCACTGATTTTGATATTGATATTAGTTTTATTTTTATTTTCCTTTTTATTTTAATATTAATTAGTATAAAATTAAATTTATTATTATTTATTAGAAATAAAAATTTAAAAGTTACCTAAATAATCTTTTAAAAGTCTTGCTTTTTTATTAATATTAGTAGTGACATGGTAAGTTAAGGCTGCTCTGAAAATTGGCTATTAAAATCACGTTATAGATCATATGATTTACTATGTTCGTGACTCAAACCCGGCATCGGAGAGATTATCAATTTTCGTTTAGAAAATAAAAAGTTATACTGTATTTTTTGCAATCATATAGATTAAACATGATCTTAAGCTTGTTGTAGAATCTCATATAAACTCACCAACTCATTTAAAAAAGAAGGTGGTGCTGAAGCATTACAAACAACCTACCTCAAATAAGATCGGAAAAACAAGAAATAAATTTACATTTTGTTGAAGAATTCACTAAAGCTGATTTTTCACTTGAGGAGATTAAATCTGCTAAACCTTATATTAAAGAATAAAAGCAAAAAATGAAAATGGGTTGAAGATATGAAAATAAATTTGATTATTTCTAATTAATTTAAGAAAAATATAATCATTGATGATGATGTAATAACATTACGATCTTTGATTTAGAACCACAAACTTATTTTTACTGAATTTTAATAAATAACATCCCGGTTTTACGAAAATTCAGAACTTTTTTTATAGTAAAGTTTTATCACTTGACATTACATAATAAACTTTATTATTATAAATTCGAAAATGTGAATTTGTTACATATTATTTTCGTGAACTTTTTTGTTACTGGAAATTTAAACATCCTTACCACGATTCTTAGTTAAAACTGTTGTATGACATTCATTGCAATATTAGTTTCATTCACGCTACCTTTAGTAGATTCATCAAATTCATCTTTCAGATCTTCTATATTCATATCCTCATTAACAGGAAGCCCTTCCCATTCAAATACTACTTTAGAACGAAGCAACCACGTACAATGATTATTGGAAAATTAGATTTTGTTTAAAGAAAGCGACGAAAGAAAGATCAACAACTTTATTTATGTAATACAGAATATAACAGTACTTATAAAACTTTTACATATGAAAAAAAAAACCGGGTGACCGTGTCAATTTTAAAATTTTATGTCACGAGAATCTAAAAAATTTTCTTTGTCTGGCCTTAACCATTTGTCTCTTGGCTCGCCATAAGATTATAATGATGACATGATTTTTTTTTGCTAAATTAAGAAATTTTACCAATTAAAATTATTTGTTTCTTTGCTGATAAAAGAAAGTTGTTAATTGTAGATAGATATGGCCTTTTTTATTATTATGATCATTCTGTAATTTATATTCATAATCGATGATTAATTATTTTTGATGAATAGGCAAGACAAGAAAGGAAATATTAGCAAGTTATGAAGTTAAGTATTGGATATCATTGAATAAAATAACAAAATTATGTCTTATTTGTAAGAAGAAGGAAGGTAAATTTTGTCATGATGAATAATGAGATATAAAATAAATGACACTTTATTAGCGTTTACAAAGAATCAAACGAAATAATTATTTTATGAATAAAAGTGTTATACGTGAGAAAACGGAATGCCGGAAGGTTGGCTTATAATGAAGTGAACGAAAATTTAAAGAAGTTTGAACAATCACGTTACATTTTTTAACAATCAGCGTCATCAACCGGTTATTTAATAATGCTTAACTAGAATATAATTTTTTTTAATTAAGTTCATTCTAAAATAAATTTTCAAAATTGGGTACAACAAAAATCAATAAAATGTCTAAAAATTGAAATTTTTGAAATTTTATATTTTGTTGAATTGCATCACAGAATGTCGGGCTATTTGGCGGGTTATAATGATTTCACACATGATCGAACAATTTGATGAATTTTTTTTTTATTTTTAAAGTTTGTGCCTTCATAATGTCTGTAATTTTTGATTATTCATCCGATATTTCGTTAAAATTTACACTTTCTATTCTATTTCGTTGAGAATTATTTAACCGTTATACACAATGTGCTCCTTGACTCATCGTTGAGATGAGCATTTATGCCCAAAAAGTATCAATGTAAACAGTTCTCAAAGTTTAGAGATTTAGAAATGAACTGAAATGCAACGATTTGAAACGAACAACAATAGAAAATGTCGAAAAAATAGTAAGTAAGAAACTATAAATTGAAATATTAAAATCGTCCAACTATGCAGGAGATGCTTAATTCTCTGAGGTGTCCGTGATCAATAAAACCTCTCTTTTAGATAGGTAATGAAGACGATTTTAACTTATTTGTCCGGAACGAAGTGAAGGACTATATATGTTAAACCTGCGGTTTCCCGCTGTCCGCCCGCTCAATTATTGAGTCGATGATGATTGACCTTTGCAATTGCACAAAAGTTTAGATAAAGCAAATACCAGTGTGAATTTTTTTTAGTTAAGATTGTTCCGGACTTAACAATGGTCCCCGTTCCCTAATATTACTACATAGTTAAATCACATTTGACAATCAGAAACAATGAAGAATTTTTTAAAAAAAAATTAGCTAAAAATAATATTTTTATTTATGTAAATGATTAATTAAAATAAAATTACAAATAAATACTGCATATTGATTGTCCGTTCTAAACTAATTACAATAAAGTACCCGACATAATTAATGAAGGTAGAAGAAAAATAGTATTTTATCAATATTTGCAATGTTGTTACATGTAAGTGAGCTCTAAAAAATAAATCCTTTAAATTCCTCATAGATAAACGTTTATTAGTGTCACCATTAATTGATCCAAATTGATCTTTTTAAGGAAGAATTAGATAGAATCTTGTATTATAGTCTTTTGTTTTAGAGAGGTAAAATATTTTGTTTCTATTGTAGAGATTCGATCACCGATCACCTTTTATCCCATTAACAAAAATTATAATGAAATCATCAAGGCAAGAAACACAACGAAAGACAAAATTACATATTTGGAAGCAAGGAATACGAAATACTATTGAAATACAAAGTTTGTCAAGGATACCAATAAGTACTATCCGCCGAACCTTAAAAAAAATCCAAAATACTGAAAATGTAAAGCATAAAGGTGGTAACGGACGTATTAAACAAATGCATCCCGGGCAATTGGATAATACATTCGAAGGCAACCTTCAATTTCTGCTGGGTCGTCTGCTGATAAATTGAAAGATATCAGACCCGCTCAACTGTTTCAAGGCATTCGGCATACCGAAATGCACTTCCCCTTTGCACACCAATGTTAACCTCTGTCTATAAGCAAAACGAGTTGATTGAGCTCAAAAACACAAGGATGATGATTGAAAAATATCCTATTTAGTGATGAATTATCTTTCCAATTATACAGTAACACGATAAAGCATTGGTATAAAAATGCAAGGCCAATTCGTCCAATGCCAAAGGACCGTAATAAATTATTCGCCTGAGGTGGTTTTCTATAAAGTGTACCACTAGCAATTTAAAACTTTTATATAGAAATATTAGAAAAGCAACTCCCGGAAGTGCGCAAAATGTTACGAGGTAGATGGCGGCTCCAGCAAGATAATGATCCTAAGAATACTAGTAAGTTTGCTAAGGATTTTCTTAATAAACAAGTCCCAGAGGTTATGGGTTGTCCTTCTAATAGTCCGGACCTGAATCCTATTGAAAACCTTTGGGCAATTGTTAAAAGAAACGTGGAGTTGCATAGGCCAAAATACCTTAGTGAATTAGAGAGTTTTTTTTGGAGAGGAGTGAGAAAAAAATTAGCATTCTAATTAATCTAGTAGGGAGTTGTTGAGAAAATTGTCGAAAGAATATCATATTAATTTTTTTAATAAATTATACTCAATTTTCGCTTTAAAATGACGAATTTCCAGTTATATTAATGCAATACTTGTGGAACTATCATGATTTAAAAAAGTTCATTTTTTTTGGACACTGTATTTTTTTGATCACCTTTAGAATGAATTTAGAATTGTTTGAAACTACATTAAAAAGTAGTTTATATAAGGAATAATTTATGATACATCATATATTATATAGCATTTAGGGTTAATCGGTTGTTAAAATTATTTAATGGTTAACCGGTTAATATTTAGCCGACTTATTTT